CAACACTTTTCAAACGCAACGATGTATGCCGCGCTTTATACTCCTCTCCACTGCCGCCGACTCTTTCCCGAGTCATGTATAGTGTGCTCCTCGCCAGGCACGTAGCCAGGATTTTGTTTCGGGGGAGGGGAGGGGGGGGGGGGGGGGCCATGACAAAATGCTGCACGAAGGGGAGGGGGGAGAGGAGGTTCCAGCAAAACGGGACAGTTCGGAGGGGGAGGAAGCCGGGCCCCATGAACCCCCCCCCCCCCTCTGGCTACTTGCCTGCTCCTCGCCATGTTGGCGTCTCTCTCCCCCCTGACATTGCGCACTACCGCGCGCTCTTCGGCGGCCACCTGAGCGGCGCACTAGAGCTTGCGCCGTGATTGGCGTAGCCGCGCTGTTATAAAATGTCTCTCTCCCCCCTGACATTGCACAATGCCGCCCGTTCTTCGGCGGCCACCTTTGCGGCGCACTAGAGCATGCGCCGTGATTAGCGTATCCCCGCTATAATAAAACGTCATTGTCTCTACCAGAGCGCCAGCTTCGCTGGACTTCCCTCTTCAGGGGGTGGAATGGCTCTCAATTTTGTTAGTGGTCGTCCTGATCCTATGAAACACAGTTGTGATTGAAACATGTCGTCGCAGTAACAGTTATAACCACCAAGATCGACCCAGCAAAAAGTGTATTAAAAACGATCGCAGCAATGCAGCGCGGAGGTCCCGATTGAGAAAAGCCGCTACGAAGCGAGTGCTCAGGGAGATTTCAACGTGCGGAACACTTCGGCACTCCCTGCTATGTCTCTTGCCCTGTAATCTTGCCCTCTAGAGCTAGCGTGCAATCGGGTGGATATCAATCGTGAAGCAAATCACGAAACAAATGGAAAAAGTGCTATTTTTCCTGACGCTCTGTCCGGTTCTGTTAACATTTCTTAGCGACTCTTGTCGGAGGCTGCTTTCCTTCGGGAAGACATAAAATTCTATGCATTTTTTGCCTGGCGCTGTTATTGTAGCACCCTGGTACACAACAGGTGAAACCACCGATTGAAAATCGTTAGTAAACAGCCGATTAAAAGACTCTTGCTAACCCGAAAATTTCCGAACGCGCGCGGAACCGTTTGTAACCGGGCGGATCACAATGAAGTCTACAAGACTTTCACGACGGAAATAAATAAATAAAGATAGTGTGCTCTTATCCTTTGAAATTTTACTGCGTAAGTCACGCATCTAGCTCCTTACCCTCATGATCAAGTTCTCAAGTGTCGCACTTGGCGATATGTCTTTAATAAAACTCAAACTTAGTATTATTTTGACGTGTTTTTTTTAAATCTAGAGGAATATTTTAGAACTTGATAGATGCCGCCAATGAAAATCGCTTCTCAGCTTGAAAATGTGAAGGGTTGGATGAATACATTTCCGCGGGTGGCGTTCCCGACCAATGCCGTAGTCCATACAATCACTGTAGCCAAAACATGAATACCGCGAGGAAAATTTCATGACTGTATCAAAACAAAATGTGTTTACAACAATGTCGGACTTTACTTTAATAGAATGGCAAATGAAACAATTAAGCTACCAGAAACCATGGTTTCCTGAGAAATTACATAAGAGCTCAGGTAGAATTATTTATTTTAATCGTTGAGCACATCTGAAGTTTTGTTCACTCTATTATCACAAGTTTAGACTGACTTTTCTAAAATTTACTTTGCACCTGCTTTTTTATGTTTTCTTTTTGCTTTGCGTAAACATTTTCACTTTTCCTCCTCCTGTATTACCACCAATAATCTTCGAGGTAAAGATACATAATAAATTATGTTTAATTCAATTAATTTTATTTACTCCCATATTACAAATTAGTGGTGGAGGCAGGGAAAAAAATTGCAGAAGTGCAGCTTGACGAAGCCCCTTGCCCCTGGCAGATCGTCCAACAGAAAAGGTCAGCTTAAACGACAGAAAAGCAATCAGTGATATACAGACAAAACGTTTGTTGGCAAGAAGATAATATTTTTATATAGCTTTCTTATTCATCGCGTCAATACAAACTTTTTTTAAACAAAAATCAGTACGGACGGTAGTGTGTGCTGAATAATCTAAAGGACGTAATTAGTTCGAGGAAGCGGTACTTTCAAGGATTCGACGCTGCGCACTCCATATATAGCAATTTTTACACTTAGTTTAGAAATCCGTGGTAATGGATGATTGGAAATTTTAAGCGATGACACGTACATTGTCGTAAGCTTATACTTGAAATATTGTTGTGATTTTTATCACTTTATGTTTAAAAAAAGAGCGCTTGAGTATGTGCGCAATACGACGCATTATACTACGACCCAAATTGCTTAAATCTGCACCCGAACAATGCATTCAGGTTGGTTGCCGTAGTTCCCGAAACTAGGTGACAGTGGGATAAACTAGAATCGAATAATGCATTATAAATTATAAGTTTTACCCTAGTTAGCAGGATATTGCCATGCTTGTAAAGAACAGCTATGGGATTCGCGAGTTTAAGAGTAAGGTTTTGAATATAAGATTCCATAGCACACGTTCGTAGAAAATCACGTCTAAAATGTTTTGCAGTATTTACAAATTCAACCTCAGAGCAGTTCAATCATTTTACGGTGGTCATTTCACACGGTACCTTTTGGTTTGAAAACAACTGCTTTTGTTTAACTTTTATATATTTTTGAAGCATTTAAGGCAGTCCACCTACTAAGCTTTTCAAGGCAAATGTTTTCATCAAAACCTAGCTTGTCAATATTATTCGCTAGAAATAGACTAGCATCATTAACATAGATTACAGATGAGGTATGACTTGCAAAAGTGACTATACACTTAATAAACATGTTAAAAAGCAATGGCCCTGAAACACTACCTTGAGGTATCCCTGTCCGCACTTCTTTCAACACTGAATAATACCTGTTTATTTTAACAGTTTGCAGCCGACAGCACAAGTAGCTTTCAACTAGAGCTAAGAAATTATCTTCGATTTTTATAAAAATCTAATTGTTTTAGTAGACTTTTATGATTTAACTGGTCGAAAGTTTAAGAGAAATGAATACAAAAATCCCAACGTAACATGTTTGTTTTCTATATTATTTAAGATAATTTCTTCTTTTTGTAAAAGGGCAAGTTCAATGAAGCGATCTTTTCAAAAGCTATAGTGAGATCGGTAAGGATCAAAATATTTTCACAAAAATTTTTCAGGCTATCATGAACCACTCTTTACGGGCCCTTCGAAAAAATGTGTAAAATTGAAAATGGTATGTAGTTGGGCTGGTTATTTTTATCTCCGGTCTTTTACAAAACAGATCTCTTTGCAACCTGCATATCATTAGGAAAAAGGCCGGTCGAGAGCGACATATTAAAAATATGTGTGAGGCAGGTTATAATGGTGTCAATAATGCAGACTGTCGGCTGCAGCTACATTCCGTTAAAGTCGTTACATTTGCTGTGTTTGAGGTTTAAAAACATCGAACGTACTTCACTCACCTCAGTAAAAACTCAGTCAATCTATTATCTTCTATAATAAGTTCTTGCAAAAAGTTTTCCTAATCATTTTTGTCTAAAATTTTGTTCATTTTCTTCCAGATAACGTCACTTCAATTTCGAATATGAAACATTTTGTAGTAATATGAAGCTTTCGCTCTTCTGTACAAAAGGGTTGTCTCATTTCGACACGTTAAAAAAATAAGCACATCTAAGTCTTTTGTACGCAAAAAGCGCACATAAAGATTGTTTCCCTAAGTTATCTTATTTAGTATATCCTTGGTAGCCCACGGTTTTCTAGACTTTTTTGGATGGAGTTACCATCCGAGATTTAAAGGACTCTATATGTGTAAAACAAAACTCATAGATAAAACATTCGTAAGCTTCATCGGCCGTGTTCTTTGTGAGTTCAGTTCTCAGTTCTCAGATTCTACACTAAAAAGTTCTACATCAGCAAACAGCAATTAATTTGAAGACTGTCGCTGATATTAAAACGAATTGCACCCGCGAAAATCAGGGCTCGGGTTATATTTGTGATAAATAAGTTCAGTAACGTTTCTTTCAGTGGCATGACACGAATGGAAACAAATATCATAAAAAATATGGGATTGAAACAAAGCAGTAAACTCAACTTGACAAGCGGACGTACAATACATATCTATATCAAAAAGGACCACCTAGAATTAAGGGGAAGTCAATATCACCAACAAACTGAAAAACTAAAAAAAAAATATCAAAAAGAATGCAGATGAGTCACCATTGGAAGGCCTATGCATTACAGCAAAAACAATGTTTCGGCGTTTTTAAATGAAGTAACTAAAAAAAAACGAAATCGTAGGCATCCATCTGGATCCTAATTTATTGTAATTATCGAGTACCGACAAAACAATATCAGAAAGCTCCTATTTACTGCTAGAGTGACTCCAGGGCCGGCTTGCTAGAATTGCGGCTCAGCTGTGACTGGGTGAAAGAAACCACCCTAAAGGCTGGGGCGCGCGAGCGTCTTGGGACGCGGTTTGAATCCCGCTCAGCTCGTCCTCTGGCTTTGGCAGTGCTTGCTTTCCCCCAAGCCCAGCCAATACGCTGTTTCTAGCAAGCCGGCCCGGATGAGTGCCATTGGAGTACATTTCGAGAAACCACGAACACTAACCAGATTCCTAGAAACGTGAAACACATCATTCGGGGAAAATGGTAAAATAATTTTATGTAAAGCAACGTGACTACTTGTTAGACCACGTGTCGTGGTCGATTACCAAACGTCCGTGACCCAATAAGGAAGGTCGCGGAACGATTCTGTCTACTTGACTGTTACGGCTCCCAAGGATCACCATCAATAATTATAAAACTAAACAAAGGAATCAATGATTAGCCTCTAAAAGCAAACAATGCACCCAGGCTTACGATTGTCACCACGCGCCTATTGATTTCAGCAGTATCCATAGCGTAGGCGTTCAAAGCAAACGGCTCCGCCTTTTTGAAGCCCGCTCTCCAATTTACGCGTCTGAGCGCTTCCCTTAGCGGCCGCCGTGGCGCCGCGAGCTCACCCATTGAACGCGCCGGGGGAGCATGTCGGTGAGCGGCTGGCTGAAACGTAGCATTGCAAGGTAGACTGTCGAAATTTTCAATTTTGGGGGTTTCCTTATTGTACACCAAGCTTCTAAAGATCATCCGCACGATGTTTGTAACACCTGATCGAGTTGTATGCCTCTGATTGCTTAAGGGTGCTATTCAAGGCGCCAGAACGTCGGTTTGTTTACATATGTTGCGGTGAGCGCGCACGTTTCATGGCGTGGGTTTGAGGTTGCCTTAGTGTTCCTCCCCACCATATGTAGGGCCATGACTGTGACTGACCGTGATCGGCTATTTGAAAACCGATATATCCGCGTAAAGATAGAAAGGGCTTTTCAGTTGATCTGAATTTTGCACAGAGCTGTGGGCATCGCGCGGCGAACGCGCCTGCAGTTGATGACGATGATAGCGGTCCGATCGATGCGCCAGGAAGCAGAATGAAGGCGCTCGCTCTTCTGAAACCGAAACCGAAACCAGATCGTGAATCGCTCCTCTGTGTTTTGGACGTTTTTTGCGTTTGTTTGCGCAGTTACTCACTTTTCAGTTCTGTGTTTTAGGAATGTATACAAGCGTGAATAAATGAAAATCTAGGTTAACATTTTAAATTCTTGCCTTATAACACTGTTAATACTTTTTCACGGTAATCGCGGTTTATACATGAGGTACTAACGTCTATATGTAACTCTTTTTTTTTTTTTATCGATGTTTAATTCGCAGGGGCTTGCTGAATCTCCCGTTTTGATTACAACTTTACTGTATCGGAGCGGCGTTTCTTATCCGCAGGCCCCTAGATATCATGTCGCTGATGCGTTATTTTAGTAAAACCCTCTCTGGTAGTAAATAAAAAAAAAGTAATTATATATATATATATAGATTTTTTTTTTCTTTTAGAGTAATGCTTTTGCGCGATCCAGAGCACTGTCAAGTGGTACTGTTTACCAGATTCGTGGTTCTTGGTTGACGCGAAAAAGGACTATTAGCTTTTTTTCGAAATATGTAGAATATGTGAACAGTTCTGGCAACTTCAGGTGGTAAACAGATTGTGTCCTCTCGTAGATGTGAGCTAGCGCTCAATGAGCTAGCGCTAAAATTTTCTATTGGCTTCGGTCAGGCGGAACCTCGACTGAGTATAGAGCGGAACGCTCTTTCCAAGAATTCGCAATTCCCTTGTTTTTGTTGTTTTTTTTTCGTCTTACACAGATAAATATACAGTCACCATATCAGTGTGATAAAATTTACCCCCATGTGGCACCGTCTTCTCTGGGAAGCCTGGGCCGACTTGCTAGAAAGAGGTCTCAGCTGAGAATGGGGGAAAGAAAGCACTGCCAAAGCCAGCGCACGAGCTGAGCAGTACTCAAGCCGCGTCTCAAAACGCTCGCGCGCCCCAGTCTTTCCAGTGCTTCCTTTCACCCAGTCTCAGCTGAGGCGCTGTTCTAACAAGCCGGCCTTGGCGGTTAACTCTAGTAACAGTAAATAGTTACAAAGCACCGACGTCGTGTTGAGGTTGACCCTGTCGTGTGATGTGCGTGGTTTACTTGAATTCTACTCAAAAACAAAACACTAACTAACCAGCGCTGGTATGAAGCGAGGCTGTGTGTTTTTGGTAACGCTTCAATTAATCTGATTGTCTTGGCCTTATTTTAATGTACCGGGTGTTTCAGTGAAGACTTGCGAAAATTCCTACCAAAAGAGTGATTAAGGGAAAAAAAATTTTCGGGAACAAACTGCGATACACGGTGATCGTAAGATATTGCAAAAAAACAAAACAACACACACTTGCTGCATAATTAACTACAATATACTAATTAACTTTCTAATTAGGGAAATAAGCATATGGTTGTCATTAGAGACTTGCTGAGCGTCATCAGAAACCATTTAATCAGGTGCGAGTCTGGCGATAAGAAAATGCAGATGATATTCTTATCATTCTCGTTTTCGCATCGCTAGCCTTCTTTCTGCTGCACCAGTGGTCACTTTAGCGCGCTCTCGCACACCACACGTGCTGTAAGTCTTCTTAATGGTGACTGGCTTAGGGGTTTTCGATAACGATTAGCAAGTTTCCAATTCAAACCAAATGTTTTATTTTCATCAATTAGAATGTGAATGAGTAACTTTTGGTTAATTATGTAGCTAATCATTTTTTTTTTGCATTTTTTGACGTCTACCGTGGCTGGCAGTGTGTTTCCGAAAAGTGTTTGTTTTTCTTCAACAGCCCTGTTGGTAGTAGCTTTTGAAAATCTTTACCTAAACACGCGGTATTTTCACACGTGCGATTTAATAAACGAACGAAAATTGCATTCCAAGGACCCTTCGAGGCCCGTCTGGTTTCTGTTCGGTTACAAATTAACTTTGCCGGGAGTCCATTTCAGCGGGCGCCTAAATTTTGTTGAGAGGAAAATGTAGATTCGCATTCGTTTTCTAAATATTGCGGCATGTTAGGAAAAAGCAGAGATGCGGAGAAAAAAAGCAAATATGCATCTAGTTGGAGTTCAGCTCTGGTCAACGGGTCAACCTCTCCGTACTTCGTCTTTAGAACCAAGCTCAGACAGAGGTAAGAAAACATTTGGGTCCGCGAGCTCTGATGTTAAATAAGCGCCGCCCCCCTTTACTTTTTTTCCCCACACAAACACACACACTGGATCGCTTACATCAGTTGGAAGTGTATTCAAAATGTTATTTTCGGCAAAACACTATCCGAGTGCTCGGACTGAGTGCTAGACACATCAAATCAGTACGTTGTGTATTTTGGGTGGCACAGCTTGCGCACTAACATAATTGTAGCCCTGTCGAAAAAGAAAAAAAAAAGAGAGAAGCAACGGTTATTTAATGTTCTTTTTTGCGAGATCCATGTATGACACCACTACAAAACTAAACAAACAATTAGAGCTTCCACTGACTTGTTTTAAAGGCATTGACGTGATCTGCTTTAAAACAAAATGCAGGGTAAGTAAATGAAAGTGTGAAGATCACCGAATCTTGCAGATATTATCACCATCATGCTACAAGCTTAGAAGATAGCAAATCCACTGTATGGAAATCACCTTAGATATAATTAAAAACATTGGTAAATGCAAAAAAAAAAGGGGGAGGGAGGGGTCAGTTCACAAAGCTCGCTGTCGAAATTAAGCTATGGCGTTCGTCTGTTTGTGATGCATTATAGGCGACACCAGCACACACACACACACACACACAAAGGCTATGGGTGCCTTCTCTGTTGTCATATTTTTTGCACTGTTGCCGCCTATTTTTGTGTTCTCGTTTCTGAATAATATTGCAAAACAACAAATAAGTTTTTTTTTTTTTTTGTAGTTTGCACTGCGCTTGAATATGCAGCATTCACAAACTTTTTTTTTTTTTTTTTACAATTACCGCAATTTTAAACAATGGCCTGAGAGCGTTTACGAAGGCTTCTTTTGTAAGACTTCGTGTTCTCACACCCAAACGCCTAGCTCTTTTTTTGCATTTTTATTGGCTCGTTCTTTTTTCTGTTTTGGCACTACTTATACGCGGGAGTCGGTAACGGGAGCTCTTAACCAGCGCCGACTAATTTTGTGTCGCAACGGTCATGCGTGTTTTAGACTAGCGTCTAGTGATGCAAAACTATCGATAAATTGACTATCGATACTATCGATAGCTTTTCCAAAAACATCGATAGTGTCGCAGAACAATCGATAGTCGACTATCGATAGTTTTTTGTACTATCGATGGTCAGATTTTTGCCGACTATCGATACTATCGATAGTACTATCGATAGTTTTGCACCTTTAGAGCGAACACAGTTGCCGCATTGCCGCCTCGCCTCTCTTCCTTCCCTCTTCGCCCAAACTCCCGTCATCGTCGTCACTGAAAAAGTTGGGATGGTAAGTGCTCGGGCTAGTTGGTGTTCCATTTGAAAAAATAAAGCGAGAAAAAGAAAAAAGGGAGCGACGCAAACTACTGGTGTCGCAAAACTATCGATAGTAAACCGGTGACAGTACTATCGATAGGTTTACGATAGTCGACTATCGATAGTTTCCCGATAGTCGATTAACGATATTTTTCCGATAGTCGACTATCGATAGTACTATCCATAGCTTTTCGATAGTACTATCCATAGCTTTTTGATAGTCGACTATCGATAGTACTATCGATAGTTTCTTTACTATCGATAGTCAGATTTCTGGTGACTATCGATGCTATCTGTAGCTTTGCACTACTACTAGCATCTCGTAAACATCCAGCGACGGCGTCTCTGCGCTTGACGAGCCTCCCAGAAGCCAGCAGATTCCTTACAACGCGCATGCTAGACGGGAACAGCAATAACAAAACAATGCTGAACAATGTAGAAGTCATTGCGCAGCTCTTTCTTTTTGTTCTATTTTTTTTTTCGATAATAAATTGTGGTAAACAGCCGGCAGAAATTATATTAGCCATTGATGTAGGCGGCAACCATTGTATAACCATAATACTGTACTCTGAACTCGAATATTGACCCCTGAACATGCAGTTTCTGACAATAGGATGCTACCTCCGAGTTCGTTGTAAACTCCCGCGTCATCAGTTCGGATTGGTTGATTTCAAATTCTGGGCAGCGGTTCAGCTTGTCAAGCCTTTCGAGCCCGTCCTCTGCCCAAACAATTATTATTTCGCTTATTCCTTGACGTCCGATAACTGAACAATGGAGGAACGCTTGGTAAAAGCCGGAGTTGATCTTTATTATGATCAAATCGTTGACAGCTCATGTATCCCGTTATGGTAGGCCTAGAGTCACTGGATCTTTTAGGTAGGCCTTCCAATTTTGAATTGACGTTTCATTCGCGCGTGGAATCGATCCCACCCCGTCTATGAAGTCCTAGATCCGAACATGGTTTAACATAATGTTCTGGTAAACTTTGGACCTTTGTATGTCGAAAATATAAATATTTATTTATTTATTTTATTTTGCCCCAAGGGGCTCCTGAGAAGGGGGTAATCACCTTACAATAAAGTATGTTTCTTGTAATTCTATTAGAAGAAGGACATTTCGCTACTTCTTGTATATACCTACTTTTATTCA